AGAATGGACTCCATTTTTTGGCAGATTATATTCTAACAACCTGATGAGATTAACCCACTTTGTTGTGAAATGCTTCATTCTGGGACTCTCTGCAGGTCAAGGTTAAATATGGCCCTGGAATCAGGCACCTGTGACAGGAAGGGGTGCAAAACCAAGATGTTAGCCTGGACTCCCGAATATGTATATATTAAACCAAACAGGCTGCAATCACCTGAATTGTATCACCCAGTCATATGTTTGGGAACTTTGAGCAGTTCCACATATTGTAAGTGTATTGTATTACTCTCTCTTCAATATGTTATCGTACTTATATGTATTTATATAAATAATATATATAAATAATATTACATTGTAGCATTCTTTCTCTCCATTGTTACATATGACCTCAACTACCAAAGACAAAGCCATACGTTTTTTCATATCTGACAATTGTTATTTTGTGTGGTTTTGGTAACTGATATTGCTATTATATATATATATATATGTTAATCTTGGCAATGCTATGTAATACTATTTAAAAAAAAAAAATAGGACGTACTGTACATATGTATGAATGAATGACCCTTTATAAACTGGTTACTTAGTTATCGAACTAACAATCAGAATGCAGGTTTTTTTTTATATCAAACAATTCTCTGCAACAACAAATCATCAAGTTTCCAACCTTATTTAGTATGTAGATTTGTAAGTCTGTAATTATAGTAATGCACAATTGATGTTGTTGTTGTTGTTTTATGTTTTAATTTACCAAAGTCATATTTCATTTTTATATGTTCACTGTTAAGTATTTAATTATTCTTTATTGTTATATGCAAAATTTCAAAACAGGATGTAAGTCAATTACAAGACTGTCAATAAAAATAATTATATACATAATGAGAGAAAGAAAGTGTTACATATTGCTAGCCTGCTGAGGAATATGCTAATACTAGGGGCACTGAAAATATCTAAGTAAAGGCTGACAGCACTGGAAACCAGGCTGAGCATATACACAAGAGAAGCAGAGAATAAATGCCATGTTTACCAAAGTGTCTACACAACTGCAGGGTGACCACCACATCTCCACCAAAGACCCACCCAGAGCAGAGACTGAACAGTACTGAAACAACATCTAAGAGAAAGAAGCATCACATAACACCTAGGCCCAGTGACTACTAGACTTGAAAGCAGATAACTGCATGCTCCCAGAACAGGAATCAGCAGTCTTAGCCCCAGTGGAAAATATCCAACAATGAGTAGCACACATGAAAAATTGGTCAGTTTGACATGATCCATAATTACTGGATAAATAAACTAACAATGCTAACAGCACATTTTGAACCAGCTACTAGTGACAGGCTCCCACTATGACTGGCTAACACAAGGCAGAACAATACTGGTCATGAAGGACCATCACAAGTGAACAACACCATCTAACTACGACCAATCACCTGCCTCCACACAACATGGAAGGTCCTGGCAGGCATCATAGCCTTCAAGATCGATGCGCATATTAGTCAGTATACAAACAATACTTAAAAGGGGGTTTGAAACAAGACCAGAGTATCAAAAAACCAAGTGGTGGTAGACCAAGTAGTCACATGGGATTCTAAGACCAGACAGACCAATATGTGCATAGCCTGGATTGACTACAAAAAAGCCTATGACACAATGCTACACACAAATGGATACTGGAATGCTTGGAAACTAAGAGCCTTTGTCAAGAATACTGAAATAACTTAAACACAATGATAGTAACCTAATACTATTACATCATATATTTTAGTATTTTATTGTAAGGCAACAGCTTGCAAGCCTCTCAATTCTAGAGGCCCAGGGGCAATTAATCACATCCCCTCCCCTTGTCAGCCCTCCCTTTTAGCAACTTGGGACCTTTGAGATTTTTTTGGATCCATATTTATGTTAAGGGTCACTCCAGGCACCAATATGACTTTATACATTTTATAGACTTTGGCCTTGTTAATGTGCTGTATTTTTGGGTGATCAAATCTTTATAGTTTTTGCACAAAAATAAATACATTTGTTTCAGAATGCTGCACCAAAAGTCTGCCTTGTTAGCCACCACCAAGTATGCCAGAAAGACCCCTTTATCTAATGTATTCATGCAGTCTCCGCCCCAACTGCACTGAATGAGCTGCTTTTAATTCACAACCTGGCTGCAGAGAGTCAGAGAAACTACAAGCAGGTAGTTGCACCCTTACTATTTATCTCCCTAGATATCCTATCCTTCTAATGCAGGTTGTTTCTTTTGACAAGGAAGTCTATTTCTGGAGTGAGTGGCATGACTAAACAGGCAGGCTTATAGTGCAGAAATTTGCAAAACATTTTTTTTATGTAAAAACTAAAAAAATGCAAGCATGCAAAAACAAACAAAAAAAACCCAAAAAACCCCAAACAGCTTATTATTGAAATCAAAACGTGTAAAAAGCAAAAGTAGTATTGGTGCCCAGAGTGTCCTTTTAAGCATGCTGGACACTGGTTGATTTAAATGCATTTATTCCAGTTAAGCATTTTTCGATTTTGTTCTTGTTTTGCCTCACACCTTCTGATACCATAATTTTTTTATACAATTTATATAATTTATTCTCTAAATCCCAATTTGTAGTACATTGAATCCTAAAAGAAAAACACAGGCTAAAATTGTTAAGCTCTGGCTATTCAAAAGTCAAAACATGCATTTTCAGCCTGCATTTTATCATTGAAATGTACGCTCGCTATTATTTGTAATTTAGTTAATATATAAAAATAATAATAATAATGCACTTCAAAATGGTATTCAGGTCAAAATGAAATTATTATTTTTTACACAGATTATTCTCTAAATACATTTATTGTCGATTAAATACACATTACTTTATATTGCAGAGAAGTTGTAAAAGGTATTCCGAAATACCAAAACGTCTGAGCTTCTAGGAGAGGGAAAAGGACAATGGAAGCATGTTCCATAATGGAATGATTAACTATTTACTGAAACCTACACAGATCAAACTTCAATTTTTATTATAGCTGTTCAAAGTTGTAATCTGAAGGTCAACAGCTAGCTGCACATCAATGGTTTCAAGTGGAGTTTTATAACTTTGCTGCAGAGTGTTTGTTGAACCTGCGAAACTAAATTATGATATTTAAGTGAAAAGATAATGATTATTATCAGCTCTTTATACTTTAGTTTATGAATATATGAATATATATTAATAGAAAAAGAAAAACAAAGGATCAGCACTAGTCAACCAAATAGTAAGGGAAAGGTAGCACACTTAAACAAATGGAACGCCCTCTTAAAACCCAAAGAGATTACAATACAACAAAACAAGGGGAAGGTTGTGGCAATGGTATTGTAATAGAATAGATACACATTGAGAAATAAAACCAAAGAAAGAAAATCTACAATTGAAAATACTCAAAATAAAATAACTTAAAAAGCCAATAAAATATCCAAATAAATATGTAAACTTACAAGAGGAACATCCACATTCTGTAGGGAAGTGTCTTCTTCCAGATTAAAGAATGCTTGGGATCCATTTAAATATATACAAAAAAAAACAACAGGAAAAAAAATCAAATAGTGTAGTAGATCACAACAAAGTTTGGTTCTAATAATTTGTACATCTTATATAGTATTACTCACATTTTCTAGGGCTAATACCAGCTCTAGCATGAGTGGTGTACAGTCGTATAATCCCCACTTATGGGATATGTGTAATGTTGTAGTCAGCAGATGTCACAGTATGGAGTCCATAAAACCCAGAAAAACAGAAGAAACAATAATAGTTCTCTCTATACAAGCTAAAATAATGAGTAATGGATGAGAAATTTTACTCACATTTAATTGAGCAGGCAAACTGCTCAATGGATAAGACATGAATGGTATAATCTCCACCTAGGATTCTTTAGTGAGGTCCTGGAATGATGAACTGGATGCCAGGCAATAAAATATAAAATAAAGCAATAAAAAAGGAAAGTGGCACACTCACAATATTGAAGTAGCCAGAATCACTTTTATTAGAATAGATTCAAAAGTAATCCACAACACGTTTTGCCAACACAGGGCTTTATCAAATTGATGCCCCTTAGCATCTAGTGCAAATGTTTGACCTGGAATTTGTTCATCCTTTAGCTTGACTATTAATTCCTTGTGGGGTATGTTTGCCTTGCAAGCTGATTCTTCATACATTACTGAAGGTGAGCTTCACAATGTAGTTCTATTGCAGTTTAGAAGATATCAGTTATATTTCCTAAAAAGCTTCAGCTTATTGTTTATTCTGATTATTAGTCTTGTGCACAGAAAGAAAATAAAGTTTAGCTGAATCATTTTTCACAAAAGTAGAAAGTGTTGTGTGACTCCTGAATTTCGGTCATAAATGGTTTCAGCTTGGCAAAATTTCAGTACCAAAATCCTGATTCAAAACTGAATCAGACAAATCAAAAGGGTGTGAAAATGGGCCAACTGCAAAATATCTGCACAATATAATTTTAGATTTTGCAGTATACGGTGCACAGATACATTTTCTCACCATTTGATTCATAGTTTGACTGAGAAAAAGTAACCAATACAGGGAGTGCAGAATTATTAGGCAAGTTGTATTTTTGAGGATTAATTTTATTATTGAACAACAACCATGTACTCAATGAACCCAAAAAACTCATTAATATCAAAGCTGAATATTTTTGGAAGTAGTTTTTAGTTTGTTTTTAGTTTTAGCTATGTTAGGGGGATATCTGTGTGTGCAGGTGACTATTACTGTGCATAATTATTAGGCAACTTAACAAAAAACAAATATATACCCATTTCAATTATTTATTATTACCAGTGAAACCAATATAACATCTCAACATTCACAAATATACATTTCTGACATTCAAAAACAAAACAAAAACAAATCAGTGACCAATATAGCCACCTTTCTTTGCAAGGACACTCAAAAGCCTGCCATCCATGGATTCTGTCAGTGTTTTGATCTGTTCACCATCAACATTGCGTGCAGCAGCAACCACAGCCTCCCAGACACTGTTCAGAGAGGTGTACTGTTTTCCCTCCTTGTAAATCTCACATTTGATGATGGACCACAGGTTCTCAATGGGGTTCAGATCAGGTGAACAAGGAGGCCATGTCATTAGATTTCCTTCTTTTATACCCTTTCTTGCCAGCCACGCTGTGGAGTACTTGGACGCGTGTGATGAAGCATTGTCCTGCATGAAAATCATGTTTTTCTTGAAGGATGCAGACTTCTTCCTGTACCACTGCTTGAAGAAGGTGTCTTCCAGGAACTGGCAGTAGGACTGGGAGTTGAGCTTGACTCCATCCTCAACCCGAAAAGGCCCCACAAGCTCATCTTTGATGATACCAGCCCAAACCAGTACTCCACCTCCACCTTGCTGGCGTCTGAGTCGGACTGGAGCTCTCTGCCCTTTACCAATCCAGCCACGGGCCCATCCATCTGGCCCATCAAGACTCACTCTCATTTCATCAGTCCATAAAACCTTAGAAAAATCAGTCTTGAGATATTTCTTGGCCCAGTCTTGACGTTTCAGCTTGTGTGTCTTGTTCAGTGGTGGTCGTCTTTCAGCCTTTCTTACCTTGGCCATGTCTCTGAGTATTGCACACCTTGTGCTTTTGGGCACTCCAGTGATGAGAAAAGAAATATGGGCAAACTGGTGGCAAGTGGCATCGTGGCAGCTGCACGCTTGACTTTTCTCAGTTCATGGGCAGTTATTTTGCACCTTGGTTTTTCCACACGCTTCTTGCGACCCTGTTGACTATTTTGAATGAAACGCTTGATTGTTCGATGATCACGCTTCAGAAGCTTTGCAATTTTAAGAGTGCTGCATCCCTCTGCAAGATATCTCACTATTTTTGACTTTTCTGAGCCTGTCAAGTCCTTCTTTTGACCCATTTTGCCAAAGGAAAGGAAGTTGCCTAATAATTATACACACCTGATATAGGGTGTTGATGTCATTAGACCACACCCCTTCTCATTACAGAGATGCACATCACCTAATATGCTTAATTGGTAGTAGGCTTTCGAGCCTATACAGCTTGGAGTAAGACAACATGCATAAAGAGGATGATGTGGTCAAAATACTCATTTGCCTAATAATTCTGCACTCCCTGTAGAGGGAAAAACAGAAGAAGTACAAAAATAAAATTTTGTTGATATATTTAAATATTATATGTATTAAGTATAGAAATAAAGATTTTTTTACTGCTCATTTCCCCCATCTATTGTTCCTTTGTCATTTGATCTGTAAATTTAAATCAGTATATTGTGACTATACCCTATCCACCAATTTTATTTTTCACCATCAGTCAGGCAGAGTTCAGAAACCCAAATCCAAAAGAACATGTTTGGCCATTGCTTAGTTCATTTGATTTGTGATTTGGGTACATTACTGCTTGGAGTTTAGGACTTCAACCGATCAGCTCAAATTTGTACGAATTGCAGTTTGAACTGAAATGAATCTCCAAGTCTACTGCTTATATTTTATAAATTTAACTAGAACATGTTTTCATATTAATAAACATAGCCATAATGTCATGTTCTATGCAAAAGATATATTGCTTTTTTTTTTTCATTTCAATGACTTCATACCCTTTGCTGATGATGCAATTGAGCTAAAGTGCTTATTTCTTATTTGCTTGTTCATAAAATTTCTAATGGGAACTAGCACGTTATTTTAGACATATTAATATGTAAACAAACCCAAATAATTATGTCTCATCCTTGATAACACTGGAGGCTATTCATAATTAACATAAATTTCCAGCAGAGTGGTTCCTAAACTTGCTTATTATGAATTGGAAAGCACACGAATATTGGCATTAGTTAATTGACAGGTAGCCCATCTGTTATAGCTAGACTACACATTATGTTATTTTCTTATCTGCATTTTATGTGCTTGTTTATAACATTACATCTGTTATAAGCTATACCTTTGGGTTTATTCACTAAATTGTTAGTTATAATGCGTTGTGATTCCAGTGTAAAGCAGAGTCAAAATAGTCAAGTTGAAAAACAAGTACCCATTTGACACATTTCAAATTTCACAACGACACATTATATGCTTTATGTGCTTTTTAGTTCTTTTTAGACAGAAAAAAAACCAGATCTTTCAAATTAGATTTGATATATTTGCCTTTTTAATTTGTAATTCCTGTTGCAGTGTCTTTAATTGGGACCCCATGCTGAACCATGAAAAATAATATAGACAACAAACCAATTTTACTTTATTCATTATCGAAATAAAACAGTACTTTATTTTATGGTTCATTTTCCATGCAAGATACATTCATGATTTCTCATCTGCCAGTTCATGAAAATTGATGACTAAAATGTGCAATTTATATAACTGGCCCCAATCCAAATTTTGACTCCTCTACTTGAGCTATTTTTATGATAAGCTGAATTCAGTTATCTTGCCAAATTCTTTATTTTAATTTGTACTATCTTGTCACAGTAGGAAAAAGTAAATTACTATTTGCTTTAGCGCTCCATGAAAGCGTTGTAAGGTGTCATTCAATAGACTTCTCTGTAGTTATTCCTAATGCAAAACAAAGAGACTGTATTTATGTTAGAATTTATCTCCAACCTCCCAACGAAGAATGCATACATAATATAAAAATCGAGTTCTTAATTTTTTTCCTTTTTCTCATTATATTTCTCATCATAAATGTATCAGTGTTAGTCACTAACGTGAGAATTCAAGGTGAATTCAAAGTGAAATTCAAACCGAACACCAAACAAGACCACTTCAGTGATTTGAAGTGGTCGTGATGGTCATGGTGGTAGGAGTCTGGATGGGCATTTTTTTCTATGCAATGTCAAATGTTAATTCTCTGCAAAATTAACTTCTGTAGTCAGTTGCAACAATTCTCTTCCTTGCAGACAATTTGTTCACCTCTCCCTCTTTCTCCCACCATTACTAATTTTTTTCTTGTAAAATTAAAGTTTATTGACAAACAGGTATCCGCCTTTATTTAGTAACAAAAATTGTACAAGTACAAAATGAAGAAAATTACAAAATACATTTATGTCAAATTCCATGCAGGGAGAGATAAGCAGTTGGGTAAGTAATATCAAAACAAAGCAAGTAGAAAACCAAACCTTCTTCATACTATAACCATTTTCCATTCTAGTATTAGGACCATGTTTAATGGTGGACTTCCTCCTTATCAGATACAATTTTTAAAAGAAAATGTATGTTGTAAGATTGAACATCGAAAGTATCTTAATTAAGGAAGATAGAGGGGAAGGGCAGTCTCATGATACCATTTGACTATTAAGTGTACTTTTTTATAATTGAGGATGTAAAGAAAAGGACCCAGAAGACATCACATGAATTGATATGCTGTAAACGTATTTTCCAGTGAACTTCAAAAAGTGAAATATGAGAGCTGGGATCTCATTTGGGAGTTTACGTATTGTATGTTTAATTTAGTGTTAATTATCTCTCTTTGCCAATTATCCCATGCATCTCTCCAGAATTTTGCAGGTATTATGGAGGTTTTAATTTGGCAATGGTATGACTCATGTAATGTAACTAGATGAATAAGTTAGTGTACGAATGGTATGTTATTTATACCCCATCTCCTACTTATAAGTTTCAGAGCTGCTTTTATAAAAAGTAAAGACAGATATTTAGTTGATGTGTAAAAATCATCTGGAAAGTGCAATAATAGTCGTGAGTTCAGGAGGACCACTGTATTAGTATTTTAAACAAGTTGTAAAACCCCTGACCAGAATTCAGATAGGGCCAGACAACCCTACCATATGTGTGTCATTTTTCCTAAGAAACTAAGGTATTTCCAACACATATTTGACCTTGCATATTTGACCTTTGGTGCAAACAAATGGATACCATGTACCACCTATAAAAGATTTTTTTTTTTTTATGAGTACAAAACAAGTTGAACAGAGTGTTAACCCTTTATATATTACCATCGTTTTGTTTCAGGTTTCATCTGAATATGCACATTTAAGCTCTCCTTCCCAAGCTTGCACACAGGGAATTTACCATAATTGTGGATTGTTTTGTAAGCATTCATATGTAGTATTATTTTTTTTTTGTGTGTGGAAGTACATTTAAGCACATTCTTTCAAAGTCCTATAGTTGGGGGAGTCAGACTTATAGTGAGAAGCGGCTGATATCTAAATGAAAATATACAAATTTGTATATTTTCATTTAGATATCAGCCGGTTCCCTCGTTGTGTGTGTATATATATTCTTGTGGTCAAGTAGATGGCCAGCTGGGAGCGATCCGAGGGAGGCTGTTTTCACATACTATTGATAAGTATCCTTATATAAAAGTGTATCTGTATAAGGTATATTTATTTGGTCTTTTTATAGTGAGAAGCAGCAGGTTGATTGAACAACCAAGATTTTAACTGTAATGAAACTTCAGCTATGTAAGATAGACCATGTGATTTTTGTTGCTGGTGGAAGCCTAATAGAGTTTTTGCCCAGGCTTTAGAGTTAAAATCAGTGATAATACCTGTCAGTGCTTGAAGTGGATTGGCTCAAGAAATAGGGTCTTTATTTGTGCCATATGTCTAATGTAATTTTTGTGGTAGGCAATATGTGTTTAGAGTGTGAATGTTAAATTTCAGGTTGCCAATGTGAGGTATGCTATTTTGTTCTCTTGATGTAGTGATTCTGTATGTCATCATTGTAGTGTTTGAGGTTGTGGATGGGCAGAGACTAAGCTGCTTAGGATCGAGTCTCTATAGTACTGTGAAATGTCTGGGATGCTCATGCCCATTTGATGTGAAGGAAGTTGTAGAATTGTGCTAATATCCTCGGGTGTTTACAATTTCTAATGGATTTGTTTAAATTAGACTGTAGATTGTTTAAATATGAGCTAGGGAAATTGATGGAGATAGTCCTAAACATATACTGTAGATTTGGGAGAAAAGTAATTTTGACAACCGCAATTCTACCTGTCTAAGATAGCATTTTATTTTTCACTTGAAAAGAAGGTCCAGAGTGGACCATGGTAGTTTTCCATAATTAAGGGAGTATAAATTGTACAAAAAAGTGATAGAATCTTTTCTTCAATCGTATGCATAATGTGACTATAATTGGGTCAGTGGTTTGTGCTGCAATGTGAACAATAGTTGGTAGGTTAAATAATAGAAAATGGGATAAGTGCTAAAAGAATGTGCCAGAAACAGTAAAATATATAAAAAGAACTAAAACAAACTGAAAAAACTTAAAAGCATAAAAAAAAGAATATATGGTCAGACACAAAAATTAGGTGAATGCCAAATATGTTTAATGCTTAAAATATCTAGTATAAAATAACACAGCGCGTTTAGTCTACTAAGGACTTTCTCAAGTGTAAATACTTCTTTCACAAAGTGTTTGTGTAATAGAATATTGAGGGATGGGCTGATAAGAATGTTGCAAAACATTTGTTTATTTATTTCCTTATTTAAAATTAAAACTATACCCCACGTGCAGAAAATTTAGCTAATTATTCAGGCCAAAAACCTATGAAATATATTAAACACATATTGCTTTCTGGAGTGTACCTTATAATTGTGATACATTTGTAAATGTCCTTCTGAAATCTAACTTTATACAATAGCCTTGTACACAACAAAAA